ATATCCCAATTCCATCTTTTGGGGAACATGAACCAACCCACCATCCCTCTGCCCCTGAGGTGTGATCCTACGACAGTTTGATTGTAGAACTAGAGTGACAGCCATCTGTTCCCAAACATTACCCCAGAAAATGTGCGTTTGCTTCTCTGGATAACAACAGGTCAAAGACGGGGACTGCTTATAGGATGTGGTCACTCTTGCTCCAGTCTAGAAGCCCACTGCTGGGAGCAATTTATTTCAGTGGCTGATGGTTTTGGGACATGGAGTCAACCTCCCGTTGGCTAGGTGTCTTCAGGCGAGTTACTTAACCTTTTGAAACCTTGGTTTCCTTATTTATAAAATGGGGATGATTTACAGTAGTCACCTCAAATGCAATGAGGCTTAAAACAGAAGTCACTTGGGGAGTGTTTCACACACTGTAAGCTTTGGACCGACACTGGCTACTACTTTTTCTGAAGCAGTTCAGCAAGACGGTGGAGAGCGTAGACTACCCACTTGGCACATCCAGGTTCAGGTTCAGACCTGCCCTTATCAACTCTGTCACCTGGGCAGTCCTTAACCTGCCTGTGCCTGAGTTTCCTCACCCCTGACACAGAGATAGCAATGTACCCCTTCATCAGGTTAGTATAAGGATTAAATGGCATAAGCGAGAGTCTTCATTAGTGCCTGGCAAGTAATCAGCCCTCAGTAAGTGGTAGCTATTGATACCGGTAACCAAAAAAACAAAACCCACTACTGTCGACTCATAGAGACTCTACAGGACAGAGTAGAACTGCCCCATAGGGTTTCAAGGAGCAGCTGGTAGATTCGAACTGCCGACCTTGGATAAGCAGCCGAGCTCTTAACCACTACACCACCAGGGAAAAACCAAACCCACTGCCATCAAGTCGATTCCGATTCACATCGACCCTCAATAGGACAGAGCAGAACTGCACCATAGGGTTTCCAAGGAGCAGCTGATGGATTTAAACTGCGGACCTTTGGGTTAGTAGGCGAATGCCTAAGCACTGTGCCACCAGGGCTCCTGGATATTGGTGGTAACAGTAAAATGGAAGCAGTAAACAATCGGTGTATGCCATTGTTCTGGGGGGCTGAGGACTGGTCCCTCATTTCTTCACTGCATGTCACTGAACACGGTCCAGGGCCACTCTGGCATCTGCAGAAACGCTCACAGCACCTCTCCTGGAGTCCTGGGTGGCAGCAGGAGACAGGATTCCCACCGGTGCATCTCCTTCTCCCTCCCCAGCCTGCAGCCCATAGGAAGGGCAAAGAGCCTCTTGGCCTGCAAGCTTCACGGCACTAAATGCAGCCTCAACGCTCCACATCATACTTTTAGTTTTTCCTAAACTCTGGGCTCTTGTAACCAATTTATTTCCGGTTAGGTTACACTGAAGGTACAGCCCTAATTTGCATTACTGTTTCCTAATTCTCTTCCCAGTGATTTGAGGTCCTTAACTGGACTGCGCACAAGGCCTTGAGCACGCTAGGGTTGATCTACAGGGACTGCCTTGAGAGCATCCTCTCGGAATCCTGAATTAACAAAACCTCAGCACAACACCTTGTCTGCAAATGGAAAACTGCTTTCTTAAGAGTTAGCAAGAGATAAGATACTCCACTGGTCTCATCCCTTCAGGAGCAAGGGAGAATGAAGAGAACAGGATACAAGGAAAAGATTAGTCCAAAGGACTAATGGACCACAGCTACCAAGGCCTCCACCAGACTGAGTCCAGTACAGCCAGATGGTGCCCGGCTACCACCACTGACTGCTCTGACCAGGATCACAACAGAGGGTTCTGGACAGAGCTGGAGAAGGATGTAGCACAAAATTCTACCTCACAAAAAAAAGTCCAGATTTACTGACCTAAAGGAGACTGGAGAAACCCCGAGAGTATGGCCCCCAGACACCCTTTTAGCTCAGTGGTGAAGTCATTTCCGAGGTTCACCGTTCAGCTGGGGAGTGGACAGCCCCATAAAACCAAATGGGACTAATGAGGTACAGCAGTCCAGGGACAAGGGCCAGAAGGCAGAAGGGGACAGGAAAGCTGGTGATAGGGAACCCAAGGTTGAGTAAGGATAGTGTTGATGTGTTGTGAGGTTGTTAACCATTGTCATAGGGCAACATGTGTACTGTTAAATGAGAAACTATTTTGTTCTGTAAACCTTCATCTAAAGTGAGAATAGCAGCACAATTAGAAGAGCGTAGTCGATGTCACTAAACTGTGCATGTAGAAATTTTTGAAATGGTGTATCTTTGGCTATGTGTATTTTCACCAAAAAAAAAAGGTCGAGAAGGGAGAGGGCTGACATGTTGTGGGGTTGTTAAACGATGTCATAAAACAATATGTGTACTACTGTTTCATGAGAAACTATTTGTTCTGTAAGCCCTCACCTGAAGTACAATAAAAAGAAAAAAAAAGTTGGCAAGAGAAAGCTTACCGTCCCACTCCCCATGGGTCCAAAATGCATTTCATGAGTTCTGACTTCAAATCTACACAGAGCATGTAGACAATGGGTAGTCGGGTCCCCGCACTCGTGCAGAGCAAACGTGGTCAGAGAACAGGGTCGTCTTCGGATGACATTTCTCTGAAGCCACAAGTTGGCAAAGAAGTAAGGTACTCCCCAAACAACTACTCCCTGATGCTGAAGAATAGGGGAGGAATAGCTAGCAGACCTCAGTGGTGAGTTACAGTGGCTAAGCTGAACACAGAGGCAGAGAACTCAGACTCAGCCTGCCCAAACCAGAGTGAGTCCCTGCTGCTGCGCCCACCGTCTTCATGGCCAGAGGTGGATATAACCCACTGACTCTTATCAGGCCAGTGCTGGCTGAAGGAAGAATAAACCTTCCCCCAAATCAGCATCTGTCACCAAGTCAGAGGCTCATCTGAGACAACAAAAGGTCATCTGTACCGGGGAGCTCAGAGTTCGCCCTTCCGGAAGTCTTATGCGCCTGATAACACATTTGAACATCCAAGATCCCCCCCCAGGGAGTTCCACACCCATACCGATGCCGTTCTTTGCAGGTAAAAGAGCCAAAGTCGGACACATTGTTAACATTTCCCAATTTGATATGAAATCAGGGAAGGGTCCAAAAATGCCATCAATTTCCCAGTGTTTCCCTCTAGAGAAGGTGATAGCAGATCACCCATTAAATAAGGCAAAGGGGAAGTCTGGAGAAAAAAATACCAACTCCCTGTCTAGGTTCCACACAATACCCTTGGAGGAAAGCAAGAAGCACATAAAATGATAATTACCAACGGTTCAAATCCCCCGCACAGACCACTGTATACTTGAAAACGTCTCTGATAAATGTTTAGGGGAAAACTGGAGGGAAACCTGAAAAAAACATAAATATTTTCCGTATTATTGGACGCTTTTTTATCTGACAGTTCTCAGCAGCAATGAAATCAGGCGGCGTAAGAGCCCATCTCATTTACTCCTCACTGGACACACATTCGCCCACCGAATGTTAAATTCCACTGTGCGCTGCACACACTCTTTAATCATTTCTACCACATCATAATTTAACGGGGTTTAGCCTCTCTGCCAACTGACAACTGTCCCCATCTGATCACACAGCAAATGCCAGTTTTAATGCACATTCCAAAGGTAGGAAAAGAGAGTAAGCAGAGGGAAGTGTTTTCTGTTTTCCCAAATGCATCAACACCCAGCTGAAGTTCTTCAGCTCCGCTCTCCAGTGAATAAACTAGTGTTCCTCCGAGGCGCGGAAGAGGGGGGCTCGCCCGCATCTGGAGGACCTCGCCGCCCTTTCTGATCCAGCGAACAAACACTCTGAGTGAATATAATCCCTAGTAAAGAAAAACATGCAAGAAAGGGCATTTCTTTTCCATGCGTCTACCCCGGGCGCACGGAACAGAAGGCATCTTAGACACAGCTTTCCAAACCTGCCACCAACTACCCGGGACGCGGGGCAGGAACCCAGAGAGGGGCCTTCTGTTAGGAATGGCTGCTTTGGGCTTTTCTAAAAAAATGGCATATCCACAAAGTTAACGCAATGTGAATATCTGACGTGTCAGAAAAAAGCCGTGGGGCAGAAGGAGAGAGAACCTGATGGGCGAAGGGAGGGACAAGTGCACGCGTCGGGTGCCCAGGTGGCAGGAGACCCCAGGGATTAGTGGGATGGGTCTGACCCGGTGTTCTGGGCTCAGATGTGAAAGGCAGAGAGACATGACAGCTCCGTGCCGCTTGGGCCCGGGAGGCCGATGGGTGGTGGGTCCCCGGGACGCCTTGGGGCTCCGGCGTCTCCGAGGACAACTGCGCAGCGCCCCCCACCCCACCTTTCCGGGATCGCTGTTCCCAGGGGCCAGCCGCTGGGAGCCGCTCGGGCATTTCGCTGGCGCCCCCGCCCCGCACCCTAGGCGGACATGACTCCCCACAGAGCCTCGGGCGTACGGAGCCCACACCGGCAGCGGCCCCGACTTTGGGAGCCTCTGCAGCAACAGTTTTCCAGTCGGAGAAGTACCGCAAACGCCTCCTGGGGAAACGCTCACCAGGACCTGGGCGGCCAAAGCCAAGATGTGGAGAGGAACCCAGCCCGAGCCTCAGCCCAGCGCGGTGTGGGGGTAACGGGGAGACAGCGCCGGGAGCAACGTCTGCAACATCGGGTCTCAACGCCCACCCCGGGGGAGAAACTCCGCGAGGACGCGGGGCGAGGGTGCGCATCGAGTCCCGGAAGCAGCCCCAAGGCGCTCGGGCAGGGAGTGCTGAGCCGAGCGGCGGCCGGAGCCGCTCTCGGAGAGGGGGCAGAGCGACGGTGGGAGCAGGTCCCCGCGAGCGCGCTCCTCCGCCCCAGAACCCCAGGCGGGGGAAGGGGAGGGTCTCTCTTGGTCCCCTAGGACGCATCCCGTAGCCAGGCGGGGAGGGGGCCTCTAACCCAGGCCCCGAAGGGACGCGGAGGCGCCAACCAAGTTGGGGCGCAGAGTGGCTCGGCGGTCGTGGGTCTCCGCGTCCGTGGCCCCCGTCCACGGCGCGCCACTACTTACACAAAGACGCCGAAGAGCAGGGCTCGGACCCCGATCTCGATGGCCAGCTCGCGCATGGTGCGGCCGGAGCAGCTCCCGCGGCGGCGGCGGCGGCG